GAGGGTTCTTGTAGTTTGGTTAATGTTAACATAACTGAATTCAACAGTACTAATTTGGTCTGGTGTGAGTGGAGATGGAGTTTGTGCCATATTAGTAGCAAGGTGCATATTGAGGAACTGGGCTGAGGGCTGAAGATAGTTACCTGCAAAAGTTTTGTTGAGTAATTCACACATGTCTGCAGAATTAGTGCATAGCCCATCTTTGTCTATGAGGAGAGAAATGCTGTGATTTTTGCGGTTCATTCGCTTCTTTAAGATTTCTGTGAGTGCACACACTCTAGCAGGACTGGCTAATGCAATGCGTTCTTCGTTTCTCATACGCAAATGTCGAGCTCGTGAAATAGAGCTAGGGGTGTTAGGTATAAAACCTAGTGTGTCAAAGTCGTGGTGTTTGAAGTAACTTGTTGAGAGTCTCTTCAGTTTTGTACGATCCTTTGGTTATATGAATGACTTTCTATGTGGGGAAACCTTTGGTGTTTGGAGTGGGATGACAGCATCTAAGCATGTGTTGGAGTTATGGTAGAAGATACTCAGTGCTCTCTAGAGGTTATCAGTATAAAAGTACTCTTTGCATTCTGAGGATCTTAACATTGATTACACTAAAGTTCAGTATGCCTAACTGTAGTTCCTGTAAGTTATTTGTTGTAAAGTAGGGGTAGGGGCTGCATTGCTACTTGGTGAAAGTGGTAGTGCACACAGCACTGCTTTATGGTCGCTCCCTGTAAACTCGGAACCTACTAGGGTAGAAAGAGGACTTATATTGTGGCAGAAGATTAGGTCTACTACGTTATTACCTCTTGTAGGGGTTGTGACAGTCTCTTTCCAGCCAAGTATATCCAGTGTGCCTAAGAACTTATCAAATTTAGTTGGGCCTGTGGGTATTTCCCAGTTGATTTCTGGTAAGTTAAAGTCTCCACGTAGGATCTTATGATCGTAGTGTAAGGTGGATAATTGCTCCAGGGTATTAATAAGTTGGGTCTCGTAATTACTAACCAATTAGTTAAAGTTGTCAGGAGGGTAAGATGGGAGAGAATGTAAAGAAGGAAAATGACAAACTTCGTTATCGATAGAATAGCGTTTTAAAAGACAATTTCGCCACTCTCTGAATATACTGCCATTTGTATCACCAGTAACGCAACCTTCAAATGTGTTGCTCATTTTCGCTAAGTTTTTTCAGTAGCGATGCCCAATATTGTGTGTAGATTGCTTCAGCCTACGTAAAGTGACCTTATGGATGCTATTCCATTCAATCGTCTTGTGGATACCTTGTGTTACCTAATTTTTGTAAATATCCTCACTCCATATAAATATTATTTATCACATTGTTGACACCTGTAAGCTGGCGTTCCTCATGTACAAACAAGTGGGAATAAAAAATTATTTATAATTGTGTTCTGCCCAGCGTGATAGAATGTGATAGGACTGCGCTTGAAAATCTTCATGTAAATATTTCTAGGTGTCCACCACTCGTCAGTGAAAGTCTTAGGGTAAAAAACTCAGAAATTGTGGGCCCAAGTAAATATTACTGAGGTACCTACAACCTGTGCGTCGGTGGCAAGCGGTTAGGACGCTCGCCGACCATGCACATGGTCCGGGGTTCGATCCCCGGTCGACGCACTCCCAAAACCTCGCTAAGCCAGAAATAATGCTGGTGAAGAGGAAAGGTTAGGCATGAGGTTTGCAACCCCATCCTGTAAAATAAACACTGCTACAGAAACTTCAAGCCACTAGCTTGAAGCTCTATATTCCACTGGGTAACGTGAAGGAAAAAACGTACAACCTAGCCTAACTTTTTGTTTCAGTCTTTTCATCACTTCGCGTGGTCATATATACACTACTTCGACGGACTAACAAAACTGCAACAGTGGTCCTTAGTTCTGCAGCAGAGATAAGGGTACATGAAGCATTCAAATTATTAGTTCGTGTTCGAGTGCTTTCATCACATCCTACGTCAAGAGCGGCAACAGCTGCTACTTCTTCTAGGCTTTATGAAGTGACTGCCGCATCTTCGCAACATTGTTGTGAGAAATACGTAACTGCAGCTGTGTGCTTTTCCCCATGTCACACTTTTATTCTCGGTATTGATTCATTTAAACTCTTCTTTGATTAATAACAAAACCCTCACCCTATGATCATTAGCATGCTGTTCAAGTATTCTGTGAAAGATGATGTGCAGTGGACTGTGCTGTGAGTAACTGGAGGGAGTCTGACATGGGGATAGATGTGCAGTCTGAAAATAGGCCCAACATAATCAGCCCGAGGTGGCGTTTCCTACATCGCCATGGACAGAGAAACAAATGATTTTATGTTTTTAAAACAACGCTTATCACTTTTGCTGTGTACCAATTGACGTAAATTATCAATACGTACTTCTCTTTCTTTTGTGTATATAACCTTCCCTATCTTATTGAAGGATGTTCTCGGTTTAGTAGTAGTGAAGAAATAGCTCTCTAAATCTATAACTCTTATGGCTGCCATCAGAAGTGGATGATGACCAAGGTTACGTAAGTTGTAACAACCTATCGCCAGGCACTGATTTATGGACCGTGTCACAAAAAGCACAAATTCGGTACATTATGTCAGCCTTAATTAACGCGTCGTTTGTGTATAGCTTCGTCACAGGTTTTCACTTCCCTGAATGCGATCTTCTAATTGCTTAGAGTTTTGAAACTGTCCAAGTGGCTTTCTTTTCCAAAATTCAAAACTACTGCACCTTAGAGAAGTAAGGTAACAGCTGACAAGTATTTTATACGGTGCATTTTAATTTTTTTTACACATGAGGGAAGCCAGTTTACAGCAATCATCTGCATGTTATATGATGAAATATGGGATAAGGATAATCACGCCCTCGGTGGTCACTGACGTTTTAAAACGCAATTACGGGGACAGGAGGTGATTGAAATGTAGATAAAATAGTCCGACTGAGTTAGAAGCAGAACACATGTGCCAAATATTGTTCAGAGCACCGTTCGAAATTTAATATAAGGCGCGCATCATTTAAGGGTTACGTTACAAATGGTCAGCGTGACAGTCTTTTTCTAAAATCATGTGATCATCTTCGTCCTGCCTGCAGTACTACTGACTGCAGGGGACTCACCTTAACAGACACTGTAAGATTAAATATGTGGAAAGGGTATCTGCTCAACAGCAGTTATCAGCAGTGAGTAGTTTTCAGTTGCTTCTCAGCAGGTATTCATAGCGACGCAAAAAGATCCATAGAAAATGACTGATGAGGGATACAGAAGATGGAGATCAACATCAGTGAGATATGGAACGGAACATTCCATGCTCTGTTTTCATTTCATTGGTTTTCAAATTTTTTTGACATCGCTCATTAGTATGAAGACGATAATATACAACTATCAAAGACCATGGTACACAAAAGACACTTATATTTAGCAGTCAGTTTATGTGTATAACTCTGTGTTCACCAAATCAATGACAGTCAATTCTAGTGACATTTCGAGTCCAAAAATGTTAAGCTTTGTTGGGATTAATCAGTATTTCTTCATGTTCTCTTCTTATTTCCTAGTAGCAATACAAAAACAGAATGACTTTCGTTTTTCCCCTTGATAGGCATCCAGTGTGTACCGTTAACTAGATTCTGAAACCCATACTTCGCGACTGAGATAGTCCCGTTGAAGACTTTTCCATTAATATGCTCCTAAAAATAGAATGTAAAAACTCAACTAGAGAAGTGTGTGTTGATAAATAAGCTCGATGTGTTCCGATTTCTCCTTAGTCTATGGTTTACCTGGTTTGTAAACATCTATGGTGAGATAAATCAGAAAAATGGAGTTACTTAAGAACATGCTTGCAATAAAAATACGTTTAAGTACAATAAAAGTGAGGGAAATTTATACTAAGGGTTGTTCAACTTATCCGGTAAACGCAGCCGAGATGGCGACTTAGAGATTATGTGTATATTAAATTAACACAGGTGTGACCACCGAAATAAGGAGAGACGGTCCAGTGGCTTGTGGGGTTTATATTTGGTCAATTCATTTTACTCTATTTTAGCTGTAGTTGTATCTTGACGTCAACGAGGCGCGCTGCGTATACATAGTATTTTGGTGACATGACTGTCCCTGTTTAGCCTCTCTAAATACCTTTTATCAGATACAATATCAATACAACTGCACTAGATAATAATAAACGTGTAGTACGAACATTAATCCTCTAAGTACCACGCAGCGGCAAACCAATCCCCAAAATAAGTAGCCTGCAGCATTGATCATTAAACATTAAACGCTGACATTCACTGTCTAATTTGGCTCGTTAAGGTGAAGTCTTGTGCTCAAGTATCCACGCTATTTTGCACGCCTTCATGTTATATTCGCTAGTTCGTAGATGGTACCTAGCTGGCTAGGCATTCCACATCGCACTGTGATTATGATCCGAAAATATAATTTTCTTATTTTGGGAGGTCAACTCGGAGTTCTGATTTGCCCTTGGTCCACACAGAGAAAATACTGCATGCGTTATGGGTATAAGGACTCGCAATGGCATACGTTGTACTTTGCGTGAAAGTCGACATTCCCTCACCTCCTAAAGTCACTGAAACATAGCCTGAAAGGCCTAACTTTTGTATGAAATAATGCTCAATTAAAAGCGGAAGTATAAAGCATAACAGCGAACAGCAGCTGAACAGCTGACATTACAGTGTTAATATAGGAATTAAACTGAGTGTTCTTAATAAGACAATGTAAATCAGACAAGCAGGTACAATGTGCTAATAACTGTATTCACAGGTTTTGATGTCAGAAAGTGAAGCGTACTGTCAAAAGAAAAGACTTATCACATCATAAAAATAGCACTTTAAAAGAGCTTGTTTGTCATTATATTGTTCACATACCCAGCAGCGCTTCTTACGAATTACCCTTTTGAAGGTCACTCTGCATATGACCTGAGTAGCTCTACAGCTGCTGAATAATGTGGATTTGCTCACTGATAGACAACGAAGTTCAGTAAGCTGTTAAGTACAGGCGTTTGATGCTCACATGCTTCTGTCATTGGTTGTGCTTATCTTATATTTGTTTTGTCAATATGCAAATATACTCTTGACCGTTTCTCAAGAAATAGGTATGTTCCTGTACTTATAATTATATAAAAAAACTTCAGCTTGTAATCGTGCAGATGTGAGACACCCATCAAGTTTAGCGAAGTTTTCCCGCTGTACGGTTATCGAAGGTGATCTGTTCATCGTGTTTACACGAATACCAAAAGATGCAAACCTACCGCTGCTTAGAGAAATTACTGGGAGCTTACTTGTCTACGACGTTGAAGGCCTGGATGATTTGTCCCAGTTCTTGCCGAACTTAACTCTCATTAGGGGACAAACGTTAGTGTACGGCTATGCATTGGTTATCAAAAGTACATCGCTTAAGGTGTGTGATCTTATAAATTGTTAATTTTGAAGTAATTCTTTAGAATAAAGGTGTGGTTGATGCATTAAAATCACCTTTATTGCTTCTGGAGCGTTTCACCTGAATTTCGTAGTTGTACACAGGTGATTTCTTGAACTCCTCACAGATATTTATGACAACACTGCAACTTTGTACTTACTCTTAAGACATACAGCTCGCATAAAACTGAATTTCTTATTTACCCGGAAGTCTAGAGATTTGGTGGCATGATAATTTGCATTCAAACAGATATTTTATAGTATAGAATTCAGGAAAACCCAAATTTTAGTTTCTTTTAACCTTTTTATTTAGTCGATACACAGGTGTTTATCAGAAAAGTGTGGTTAAATAGGTATTTCTACTAACTTGCTTTTTTGTTCAGATTTTGGATGGCCAAATTTTAATTAAACTCTAACTGAATAGTTAACGCTTTTCTCATAGACACGTTCATCACCTCAATGTTTTCTGTCACATGTTATGGATGTATGAGCACGTGCAGTCATTTGTTCAAATGCCTTAAGATTCAATTTTGAAATCATAAGTGTTAAGTTCAAGTTTATTCGTTTATTTTTCCTCACATGATATCTTTTGAGAGCAACTTACTATACAATAGGTACAGTTATCTATATAGTTTGGTTATGTGTAAAATTTGTACTTGGTAAACAGTTTCGCGAGAAAGATTTTCATTCGCAAGTTTGTGAATTACACTCATTGTGTGAAGGCTAATGATACTACGATGAAGTAAATGTAGTGGGATTCGAAATCACGATGTACTGGCTGAAAGTCTAGTACTTAAGCCAGTAAACCACATAATCAGTGAATATGAATAATTCACCGAAAATCAGTGCTATGATATAAACTCTAAGTTTATACTCATTGATCACTTCGAGCATACCTTAATGGTTTTCATAGCGCTTGGTAATTTTTAGAATTTTATTGTCCTTTAAACAAAGCTTGACAAAATTGTCATTTGATGCCCAATATACTGACGAACTTTATCTTGGAAGCATGATGTTTCACAGTATTAGGATGTTATCATCAGTAAATCCTGACCAGCTAACCACATTAAATAGCATTTTTGAGGTGGTAGTATGCGTTTGAATACTTACTTCGTTTCATTTTTTTGTCCTACATTATTCTCTGATTTTCATTTTTGGATTCTTGTCAGCATTTTCCAAAGTGAATCATGAGAAACTTACCCACGACGCTTCCATGAATCATTTCATCTGATCTTATCTGACAGGTTTCTGGATGTGAAGTTTTATTTCCAGTAATACCGTAACCCGTGCCGGCTGCAGATAAAAACTGTTTTAGAATCTTTCTAAGTGTATTGCTCTTTTAACACCTCATTCTTGATATAAGTGTATGATAAAATAGTTTGTTAGATAGTCATTAGGACTCCGCTGTATTGTTTGGAACATTTCGCCATGTAGCATATTGTGCACTTGTCATATCAGTCTAGTGTTTTGAAAAAAATCTTATTGAGTGAAGTTTGCGACCTACTTCATTTTGTTAAATTTCTTTATCTTAACATCTATCCTGAAGACAATTGGTCTATTTTCTCTCCGAGTGATCCAACATGGTGGAGTTCGTGTGGACAGTAATCCTCAGCTGTGTTATGCCAAAACAGTTGATTGGAATGCGATTTTCGAAAGTCAAATTGGGGATGTGTCTTCATCTCTTAGGATTGTTAAGAATGGTTTACTTTGCCCAGATACGTGTTCGTCAAGTTGCTCTTCAAAAATGCATAACGATGTTACTCATATAACAACAGAACATTCGAATCCTTTGTTAAATGGTGGCGCTCATTGTTGGTCAGTGAATGAATGTCAATCTAGTGAGTGTCTGTTTTCGCTTTGTATTCTGTTTTGTTGCTAATGATGCATTTTTTTATTAAGTGATTTTTGCATGAGGATTATATTCAAGGCGAATTTTAGTCATATTATTACAGTAGTTTAATAAAGTTGTGATAAAACCTAACCAGCATAAATATCTGAAATTTCAGCACGAATACAGAGGGCTAGGTTCGCATTCGCCAGTTTTCGCCGTCTCTGGCGTAGACGCGATATCCGACTATCGACCAAAGGGCGTGTGTACTGCTCAACAGTCCGCTCCGTCCTCCTTTATGGCTGTGAGACCTGGCCATTGAGAGCAGAAGACATGAAAAGATTAGCTGTCTTCGGTCATAGGTGTCTGCGTTCTATCTCCCGCGTGAAGTGGTATAATAAGGTGAGCAATATTGAGGTTAGGCGTCGAGTGCTAGGTAAGGCGGGAAAATCAATCGACGAGACTGTGAAATTACTTCGACTGAGATGGTTAGGACATGTGCTACGTATGCCTAGTCATCGCCTTCCTCGACGGGCAATGTTAGCTGATATAGGGTCAGGCTGGAAAAGAGCTAGCGGCGGTCAAACCAAAACATGGAACCAGTCAATGAAATCTACAACAGTTAGTCTAAGCCATGTAGGAAGGTGTAGACTTCCTGACTGGTTGGGGTCCTCGGGACAGTAAAAACCAATGGTTGGAAACAATTGGTGACATGGCTCAAAATCGTTCTCAGTGGCCCAGATGCATCCACTCCTTGTGACTTATGATTTCCAATTAAACTGTTTTGTTCTTCGTTATTACTAAACCCTTGTCACACACCTCTGTTTAATGTCTATATTATGCATTTCTCCTACTTTCTTCTCTTGCATTGCGTGCTACATGGAGTGTGGCGACTTGAACTGCCGCACATATGTGCAAAGTTCTATGTCGAAAACCGACCGACCGACCGACCGAGTTCATAGGGGACGAGCTTTCTGGACTTTTTTTTTGCCACTTCATTCACTAGGCCATAATAATCAAACGTAAAATAGTGAATGTAGCTTAATTAGTCTCCTTTCCATGCTGTGTATTCCCTATGATATTAGGAAATAAACTCTCTTAATGGACTTCTTAAGGATAAAAAATATCTGACATAATCTTGCAAAGCCACGTTTACTGGATATTTGTTTTTTATTTTCCCTTCAATCTTAAATTCTTTTTACGTTTAATTTAAAAAACCTAATACGCAGCGGTGAATAAACAGACAAGCGGTGTGCGATTAGCAGACATTATATTCAGAATAAGGATCAAGAATGTCACTGAATATTAGGCCGTAATGTACGAATAAGACTCAATGAATAACAGCATTACTTGTATACTATGGGATTACTACACTAGTAGAACAGGATTTGGTAGTTTATTATCAGGTTTAAGATATTAATCAGTTGATGAGGTAGCTATGTTTTATCGACATGAACCGAAAGGGTTTCATAAATCGCTAACTGGTGTTGTCGCAAATCGCATATAAGACGTTACTTACATTCATTTTGGAGTTGTATGAAGTCGTCCATCGCTACAGTCATTCAGTAGATAAGGGTATATTACCTATTTTCAAACCTTCAAAATTATTGTCAATTTACTCAGATTTATTGTCCTACGCAGACCAAACTGATTAATGATTTTATTGTTTAATAGTCTGAAACAAAATGTCACTAAAATCATCATTTGAAATGTTGAAGTTTATGTTAAATATGACGCCACTAATGCACTATTACTTGATTTTATTTTCCTCTTAGGATTAAAGCATTTTTTTTTGTGTTGATTTATGTACATCTAATTAGATATCTCATAATAGTTGTTTGCTTTTCATTGTTTTCTTGGCTAAAGACACATTCGTTATACATGCCATTTCTTGCCAAATTTCATGGGTTATTCTTTTTAGTTTGCCCTATGAAGTGTACTCTGCGGAATTTGACGTGCACAATGAGTCGTCCCTATAGATGTTGTCATCCTGAATGCCTTGCTGGATGTTATGGCGATGGGCCAGATAGGTGTGTTGCGTGTAAGAATGTAATGTTTGAAAACCGTTGTGTATCTTCGTGTCCATCGGGGACGTATAAGGTAAGTTGGAGTTGTTTTTTAAGGCATTAAATCATATCACCTTGATATGATTATGAGCAATAAATTGTACTCGAAACGTGGTCATCAGTAAACATTACTGTATAATACTGTGAGAATTTATCAAAACAAAATTTACCCATAATGGAACTATATAGTTTTATTGGATATTATGAGTCACAAGGAGTGGATGCATCTGGGCCATCACTGAGAACCATTTGGAGCCATATCACCTATTGTCTCCAGCCCTCATTGGTTTTTACCGTCCCGAGCCCACAAGTCACACCTACCTACGTGGCTTAAACTAACTGTTGTGGATTACATTGACTGACGAAGCCATGTTTTGGTTTGACCACCACTAGCTCTTTTCCAACCTGATTCTATTTCAGCTATTATTCTATCTTGCTTTGAAGTTGACTCGTTCGTTTTTATTTAGTAATGTAATACCTGTCTTCGGCTTTAAGCTTGCTCTCTTTCTCTAATATTATCCTCTCATGGTGTAACATTTTTGTGTATTTGTCGTAATAAATATTTGGGTTTTTTACCCAGTTTTGTTGAATATAAATATAGCTGGCAAATAATTTCTTTAAAGAGAACAAAACTTTAGATGATTAGTCTTTGCCCGATGAATTTAATTGTTATCTGAACAATTATTAACCGGTTACTGTTCAGAATTAAACAACGAGTGTAATACTATGGTGAAGTTACATTATTTTGCATAGTAGATGAGGCTAATTAAATGGTTCACATAGTTTGAGTATAGTCTGAGTTTTGTGGATTTTATTACACAAAACTTCATGGATGTAAGTGAATAAAATCACAGTGGTTATTCTTTTAAGGCTAATTTTGTACTTCCCGTTTATTGATTATTCTCGACCGAAATGCTCGATCTCTGCTGACATGTTGGCTTCTAGTATGAATATTTCGTCGATGTCTAAGGATGAACTTGAAGTTAGTTTTGGTCGATAGTTACCAGCAATGGAATCCAGTAGAATCGCCTTTTGTCCTGCTTGGGACTCGTCGGCCGGGTGTGTATCTGCATTCCCATAGCGATGTTGTCTTTCACTGAGACTCTAATTCTGCATCCATTGTTTTAAACACCAAAGCATTATGGGGTTGTAATCACCTTCAAAATGTTGAAAAATCCTCAATTCACTCAATATAACTACTTAGTGCTAAGTATGTGTACATAATAATAATATTAATTTGCTTTATTCCAAAACAGTACTTATGGTAGAATTTGGAGTTCTCAGCATTTGGTACAACGTAGCATCCAGTTTACTCCACAATTGAAAAAAAATTAATTAAAAAAATAATGTTACAGGATTGATAGTAGCAGCTAGTTTATGTTCATGGATACGAAGAAGAGGACGTCCACAAAGAAAATCACCCTACCATATATAAAGGACGTCTCAGAAATTACTACAAGATTCTTCAAACCTCTAGGAATTGATGTCGCACACAAACCAACAAAACCACTTCACTCAGCTCTGTGTCAACCAAAAGACTCAACAGCAAAAGTAGGTAAAACTAACATCATCTTCAAAATAAGTTGCAATGGCTGTGAAAAACAATACATTGGCTAAAGTGGACGTCCTCTTCTTCTTCTTCGTATCCATGAACCTAAACTAGCCGTCAAAAGACATGACATCCACTCTCTCATATCGCTGCATACGGACAACCACGGACATCAATTCGACTGGGACAACGTTCAAATACTAGGCAGAGGAAACACCAAGAATGCCAGAGAATTTTTAGAAGCCTAGTATTCCAGTGAATCGTCAGTTAATAGAGACATTGACATAGACAAGATTTACCAACCGATAAGAGGGAAATCTCATATACAAAGGGTAAAACTTCAGATCAAGGAAAAAATCAGTACGAATACAAGTAGCCTAGAGGGTGTAAAAATACACAAAAACAACCAATCATGTTCAAGGTGACCAGGAGAGATCACTTATAAACTCGTGGGGAAATCTAAAAGCTCACTTTAAATTGAAGTATTCGCTGAAGATTTTGCCTAATAGTGCAATAAAAGTTTCCTGAATAAACCATCCAGCTCAGGGAACACAACTAAATCAAGATCATCCACCTGAGCTACAAATCTTCTGTGTTATATATAATGTTTTATAATGACTTTGAGTCCTACCTGATGAGATGCAAGGGGAGAGTTGAGAATAGAGCAGGCGTTGAGAATCAGATAGTAGCGATATGGGCTATTCCTCAAAAGAGTTCAGGTATCTATTGTTTACAGTAGTAACGAGCTGACTAATTGGCACACTACTTGTCGTACTGAAAACCGAAGTATTTAGAATGATTTAATTTTCACAGTTGCATATCTTAACCTTATATTTGTTAACTTAAATTGCTTTTAACGGCATGTCTTGTGTAAAGTGTTCTAAATTTTTCCCACTTGTAGTATCTTAATCGAAGATGTATTACAGAATATCAATGTTTAGTTGAATTACCCAATTTGGTGTATGCTGATTCTCCATATACATATGATTACTATAAGAATAATCCTTCAGTTGATTCATTTCCCTTCAATAACAAGACAAAAACAGAATCGAGTTTTGCACTGCTCGGTGATTCCTGTCTTCTGAAATGTCCTACAGGTTACAAAAAGTCTTTGAAAACCGGTCGTTGTTATGCTTGTGAAGATCAGTGTGAACTAAAACGTAATGTCGTTTAATTGTTTATGTTATTAGCCAATTCTCTTATCGCGTATTTACTTCTCTTCGTAATTTTGTTTCTCTCTCTCTCTCTCCTCCCTCTCTGTGAATGACTTCCTAATCACTCATATGTATTAGATCAATAGTTAGTCTTAGGTCACACCGTGTATTTAGGATTATATTAGTTATACAAATAGAATATCACTTATTAAACGGACATTTAAATGCATGTTTCAGAAACATGGAATCACCAATAAATAATTTCAGACAAGAAGTAGGAAAGTTTATGTTGCTTTAAGATGTTTTTTAAACTGAAAGATTACTGTGACAAATCACTGTAGTCAATATGTTTCAGTTTAGGCTGTGTGATACGCATCACATTAAAATGAATGATTATTTTAAATGTTCGATTAATTTCATTCATCTAACATGGTTTTTTTATGTCAGTGTTGTGATGATTCTACTGGTCAGTTCGAATTGAATTACATACTCAGAATTTATTTGTTGAATTGGTTTCTCCTGGTTAACAGAGGATCTGACATTATCACTTGGCGGACTAAGTTGCCATACTTCAGATCTTTAGATCAAGCTGAAGATAATATGATAGAAGAGAAAAAAATTAAGACAGTGATATGAAACACAATCAAACGAAAGAAGAAACAGTTAGGCAGATAAAAGATGTGATATTACCATTTGGGTGGAAATGGGGAGTGTTTAAATTTCACACTACTGTGATCAGTTCTAAAGCGTTAATCTTATTTGCTTTTTATAACTAAGGAACGTGTAGAAGTTAGACGGTTAGAACTCAGTTAATCTGAACAGATTTCTCGTATACCTTGGCTAGAAGCCACATTTATTTCGTAGTGGCTGATGATAATAGTACTCAATAGTCCAGGTTGGGTTGGGTGGAGCAGGGACTCGAATCTAGGAGCCGTTGGTTAAAAGGTGGGTAACTAAGCTAGTGGTCATATATATATATTATAGTGGTGGATTGGATGTATTCTATGACTAGTTTTCACTTCGTTAGATCGTGTCTGTTGCGCCTTAACTTGAAGTAGTCTATTTAAATTATTTTAAAAAAACAAACAGAAAATCTGTTTGTCTACAATTGTCATTTTTGATTCCTTATCATATTTATTCGTTTTATTTTCCTGTAGACTGTCGAGAATTTCTAATTCATAGTTTGAAGGCACTTGATACTTTAGTTGGTTGCCATTCAGCTAAGGCTATTTATCTTAGCATTCAAGAAGGTAAACCCGGTAAGTAATTGTCAAATTATTTTAAGAAGTTTTAATGAACAGTAAGTAGGTAAATGACTATTATAATATCTCTACAATGTAGAGGATCAATTAAAAGAAGTTAAATAAGGCTGAACAAAGATGTAAGGCATATTCATCATTAATTTAATTGTATTAATTGAAGATGGTTAAAAATGTGTGAACTTCTTGATTTTTTATCTGCAGTTGTTAGTTGATTCAACTGCTGTAGAGGCTATCAGTCAAATAATATTAGGGTGAAACTAAAGGCAATATTATGATTGGTTGGAGGATTTCATCATGAGGTGACATCAGTTAGAGAACCATTGGAAAACCTGGGAGTACTGAACAGCTGTTTTGTCCTAGTTCGGGACTCTTCATCAGTATTATGATATCCATTATTATTATTATTATTATTATTATTATTATTATTATTATTATATGATATCCATTCAAACAAGTTCATATATGCAACAAAGTTGATTAACTCAGTATAGTTGTAAGCAATAACGTCAAAACTTTTTATATGCTTATTAATGAAAAGTCTTTTTGACCGTATTTGAATTAACTTACAGAAACTGTAGCTCTGTTATTGGATAAAGCGTTTGCAAATTTAAGAGTTATACACCATAGTTTACGTATAGTACGTTCATCTGTACTTCTTCATTTAAATTTTCTACGACATATACGTTCTATTGGACAAGTGGAAAGAAATGTTTCAAGTCATACGTAAGTTAAGAACTGTTTTTTTGCTTATTTGACAATTTTTGGCATATTACTGTCATTACATATTTTAGCTTAGTATAAATGTATATAGAAGATTTTTACGAGTTGATCACGGATTGATATCAGTTAGAGAACCATTGAAAACCAGTGAGTACTGGGTAGCTATTTCTTCTTTGTTTGTGACTTTTTAGCAGTACGCACGATGAATGGTATCCAGGACCTTCAGGTTACAAGGTAAGCTTATAGACCTTTCAGTCGTTAGAGCTGATGAGTCATGACCAGTGAAGTCCATCCAGATGTCACGTGTGAGGATGGATGTCCCACCCTACGACAATGGTTGGGATGGCGCTAAATCACGAATTGGTAGAAGTTAGATTCATGAGCCATTGAATCGGGTCTCAGTGGCTGAATGGTATACGAGCTTGCCTTGTAACCGGAAGGTCCTGGGTTCGAACCCTGGTGGTGGGTGTGTACTGCCGGTGATTCCCAAACTAGGATAAAACAGCAGGTGTCTAGTACTCCCTGCATTTCTTCAATGGTTCTCTAACTGATATCAATCCGTGATCAACCCGTAAAAACAAAACTAACCTTTACAAACCAAACTATAGAAAATATAGAAGATTAACGTTAAAATGTTTACAATATTTCTGTTGGTCTGCAAAAGAAAATTACAGTGAAATGTATGAAACAACCGAATAGTGTAATCGTTGATTATCTAACCACAGTGTAAAGGACAAATTTTTAATAAGTTTAAGGGTTAATATTAAACATCTTTCTAACTAGCCCTAATTTTAGGTGATATGACAGGCTTTTACTTCCTTCTTAAGAAAAGATAGGATGTAATCACTCTGAATCTTTGAACTGGTCTAACAATAGGAACAGTTCACTCACTATATAGTGCAACGGCCAGCGAGTGTCATCGGCAAGTATTTGTGCTCACAGCCAACTTGGTAGATGGTCACAAATTCCCGC